AAGACGGCGCCAGGACCCGCCGCGCCGCTGCTTATGAATGAACTAGTAGCTTTCTGCCGGGAAGCCCCGCCCCGCCGTACACGTCACAATGGGCACGGTCCCGCCCCCCGGCGTCGAGTCACAAGGAGGGCGTGTTCGAACGTTCCAAGCTGGGCTGCGTCACAATGAGGAGGTGGGAAGCGTTCCAGCCCGGCCGGGGCTGCCCGGTGCCGGGGCTGGAGCTCTGGGTCTCCCCTGAGTGGGGCAGGAGGGGACCAGCTGTTGAGGACTGGGCAAGCCCGGCCCGCCTAGGGGTACCAGGGGGGTGTGACCTGTGATTACACTGTAGGAGCAGGCCAAAAGCCTTGGCTGGATGGATCTGGGAGGAAAACCGCTTTTCGTGAAATTTGGGCTAGACCAACCCTTGCCAAGTCTAGTCCAGGCAGGATCATCCCCTACTAAAACGTCTTAGAGGAGCATCGGTCCAGCCTGCTCTTGAATCCTAGAAAAGGAGGGTGGGAAGGGACCTCAGGAGGTCACATCCAGTCCCACCCCTTGCTAAAGTGGGACTGTTTTCCAAGGATGGAGATTCCCCACTTCTGGGCAGCGTCCACCACCCCTCCCTGGTAGAAAAACCACCCCCAGCCTCCAGCCCAGATTTCCTTCTTGCCAAAAGCATCGTTTCCCTGCATTCTATTTTGCCACCTGCCCCCAGGCCAAAATACAAAACAAAACAGGGATTTTCCCTTAGGAGGAACAGCCAAAGCCTCTCCCTAGCTCCCTGGCTGGATGGCTCCTATCGACACCCCTTCTGCCACTAGGTACGAGCTGAGCCGGGCTGGTAGGGAAACTTTTTAAAAATGACTTAATTGTAGACAGAGAAAGTCTTGCCCTTTGGCCCTCGCCACAAGAAAAACAAGGTATTCGACAAGGTTCTTTGGGTGAATCTGATATCTGTTATTAGACCAACTTAAATAGTTGGAAAAACATTTTTTAGCAAGCTTTTGGGTTTTAAAACCCTTCGTCAGGCTGAGGAAGCATCTGAGGAAGGATTTTTAAACCCGAAAGCTTGCTAAGAAAATTTTTTCCAACTATTTAAGTTGGTCTAATAACAGATATCAGATTCACCCAAAGAACCTTGTCGAATACCTTGTTTTTCTTGTGGCGAGGGCCAAAGGGCAAGACTTTCTCTGTCTACAATTAAGTCATTTTTAAAAAGACAACAGATTTTCAAGGGAGGGGATCACTCTTTTCATAGTTTCATAGTAGGTAGGGTCGGAAGGGATCTGAGCAGATCATTAAGTCGGCCCCCCTGCCATGGGCAGGAAAGTATGTTGGGCTAGCCTCCTTTTGAAGACCCCCCCCCCCCAGGGTAGGAGCGAGCACCACTTCCCTTGGAAGCTGGTTCCATTGTGAGTGCTTGTGTGTCAACCAATAACTTCATGGGGCTGTGTAGTGTGTTGTCTGTTTAATAAAACCCTTATTTGGACTCCTGAGTTGGGTTTTGCTTTACTACGGTTCCAGCCTGGCTCCAATCTCTGCTCCTTGCTCCTCTAACTTCTGTTTTTCTTGCCTTCAATAATTAGGCTGCTGGTCAGGACTGATTGTTTCCCCTCTCCCCCAACAGTTGAAATCCATGGATTTATTTTTTGATTTAGGGCCTTGAGCAATCCCCACACTGCAGTTGCCGAGCAAGTCCCGGCTCCTCATGGACGTATCCTTGCAGCCCTCCAGTGCCGCGGGGAAATAACACCGACCTCCTTTTATAGATAGGGAAGGGAGGGAGAGATTCACTGGCTTATGCTTATACCGGGGCAAACTAGCGGTGCCTCCCCTGACAACTTGGGGTGTTGTGTCTTTCGGAGCAGGCGCGGGCAGGAAGGCCGTGATGGGAACACGGAGCCAAATCTCAGGATGTCATGCACAGCTGCCACACTGGAGCCAGTACCCCAACTGGATTCTGTGGAGCTGTGTTGGTTTCTGCCAGCTAAGGATCCAGCCCCATCATAGATTCGTAGACTGTAGAGTTGGAAGGGACCACGAAGGGTCATCATGTCCGATCCCCTTTCATTGGAAAGGGGGGTACGCAGGTTGCTGCTTTGCCACTGGGAAATGAAATTGGGGGAATCTAAAGAACCCCTGATCCGGGAACAGCGGTAGCTGTTGTCATCAATGGCCTGCTTCCTGATTTTGCTGGTGAATTAAAACACTGGCAAGAGCAGCTGTTGTGTCCCACGGGCCTTTCCCCACAGCTCCCAAACAAGCTGCCCACCCAATTATTAACCAGCGCCCGGCCTCAGCTGAACAACAAAAACACGGGGCAAAAACAAGGTGGAAATGAAAACAAAAAACACTTGAGCCGAAAGCACAACGCAGGGGCAGAGGTGTTTGGAAACCTTCATTATGCAGCAAGCGCTCCCGCAAGGAAATTACTTTCACAGTCATTCCTGACTCAGTAATATCAACCGCTTTGTTTGTGTGAAAACAGATCTCCTTTCTCCGATCAGGACGAGGGAGTGAGTCACCTGCCCTGCCCAGCGAAGACCCTGGAAAGCAGGATGTTTTGTTGAGCTGAGAAGTCCCATTTCCAGCCTTGAAGTGAAGTTGTGCTCTTTGCCATCTCTGTCCAAGTCTGTATCCAGCTTAAAGCCCCATGGTACATAAGCTGTGCGGACTCTGAACCAGAGAGATCTGAAATCATTTGGATGCTACCAGGCCTCGTCTCCAGTAACCTCCCAAATGTACGTTGATTGATATCTGATGTCCACTGGGTTCCTTTAGCATGTACCGGCCAAGATTGTGGCCCACTGTCGACTGATCTAGCAAGAAAACCTTCCACAGGTAGCTTTTTTCACTCCACTTTTTCACTTGATCTTGTCCCGCGGGAGGGCTGTAGATTGGGAGTTTGCCTAATGACTCTGCTTCAGACCGTGTGGCCTTGGTGAGGGCATTTTATTATTATAGTCCATCCTCCATTTCCTGAACAGCCACATTTGCTTGTTTTGCTAACTTGGAGCAGTTGCTGCTGCCTGACAAATTGGTCCTTTTTCATTTGATGCAGCATCTCTACTCTTATGTTCTGCAGCGCAATGACTCGGATTAAATACTCATCTTTCCAAAGCTGTATTTAATACAGTGCTAAAGTTTGATCCAGTAACTTGGAACATCATCACTTTTCCAGCAGGAACTTTGCAAAGAGGTTTCGATAACCAAGGACACCCTGGAGCATCTTGCCCTCATAGCAGAGAAGAGAAAATGGAGCAAGGAAAAGGAAAGGAGTCCCAGCCCCCAGCCTACTCTCCACTGTGGAAAGCCCTGCAACTTCTGTGGACAGATCTGTGGCTCAAGGACTGGACTCTGAAGTGACCTCAGGATCCATAAGCGAGGTAGAGATCATCCTTAAAATGCGGGATTGCCACTTGTGTCCTGGATTGGTAATACCATGGTGCTAAAGACCCCCCACAGGGAACAGACCCCACTGTCTTAAGTTGACATACTTGTGGAGGACAGATATGGTCCCTGCCTGTGAAGAGCGTAAATAAGACGAGAGGCAGCTGGAAACAGGTGGCTGGGGGTTTCCAGAAAGCAACACGGCGAGGCTGTGGTCTCAGCACACCAGTGATCTCAGTGTTGTTGGGTTTCTCAGGCAGCGTGGCGGGGGACCGGAAGGAGACTCTGAGACGGGGCTGTCGGTGTTTACAGGAGCTTGTCCGAAAGCGCTTGTTCAGCAGTTCAGGCAGTGGGCAGCAGGGAGCAGCCCCAGGGGCTGGCCAGAGGCAGCTGGCTGGCAAGAAAGTGCAGGTCAATTAAAAGAAAAAAACAAAAGATGGTTTTCCAGGCATGGGCTGACACATTCCAGTGCATTTGGAGTTTACATCTTGAAATGACCGTCTGCCTCGGTGCGCAGAGACCCTTATGTTCGGATGGGCCAGAGCCCCTCATCCGGACTTTCTTTGCAGGGGACATCGGCCTTATTCCTCCTTGGGTGAGTCCTTCCCATCCCGAGCGCTGCAGCGGCCACAGGATGGAGATTCCGGTCCCCGTCTAGCTCCAACGATGGCTCTCCGCGAGAGCGCTTCGCAGCCAAGAAGCAGCTGATACCCCTCTCCTCTCCCACCCACAATACCGTGACCAGAGACACCCCTCCTCGCTCCCAGGCACACCTATCAGTTCATCCAGCCGTTCTCCTACAACCTGGGGACTCAGAGAGATTGTTATCCCCACTCTAAGTAGCACAAGGGGCAGTTTCACGGGAGGGAGAGACCTGTACCGGCTGAGCCGGGTGTCTGTGCATAAGCCCTGACCAGCTATGTAGCACTTAAGTCTCAGACAGGTGTAATTACCGCCACCTTTACTACATGCCTGTTGCTATTCCAGCTGCTTGTGCTGGTCCTGGCAGCCTGGTAAGACATGTATGGCTTCTTTTGGGCCAGCAGGACTCTTAATGGCTCTTCAGATACAAATGGGCGAGTGGTCCAAGTTGCACTAAGCACCAACAGTTCTGACCACCTTTGGCTAGAAGGGCCAGCATTCAGCATGTAGCTCATAGCTCTGCCTGGGACTAGCGGGGAGGCACTAAGAGTGATCCTGTTACACCAGAAATCAGAGCTGTTGCAGCCTGACGTGTCAGTCCCAAGTTTGCAACCCCCCGTGCGAGCCCCTTTCTGCACATGAGCAGGCTGATACCCGGAGCAGCAGCTGGGACCTCGCGGCGGGGGATCTTGTTGAGCTGGAGAAGCAGTGAGGTCTCCACAGACAGGGTGCTCGGGAGGCAGGCTCTCTCCGCAGACCTGCCAGATGATCTTAGGCCAACACCCTTCGCCAGCATCTCAGGGTTGGGGCAGGGTCTCTCAGCGTCGGTAGACAGCCCCTGGCTCTGCGTGGCTCTGAGGCTAGGTGCTATAGTAATAGGTAACCACTCATGCTCGCTGTCTCTGTCCCCAAATTAACACGCATCTGACCCCTTTGTGGTCTTCAGAGCACATCGGAGGCCTCT